CCCCCCAAGACCGATGCCTCGCAAGATGAAAAAAATTCATTCGTCTTGCGGGGTTCCCATAGGAATGCATTGCAATGCATTCCTATGGGAACCCCGCAAGACGAATGAATTTTTTTCATCTTGCGAGGCATCGGTCTTGGGGGGAATCGTCTTGCGAAGCATGGCCATAGAAGAAGCTGCCTTGTGAGGCACCGCAGCAATCACAAAAACCATTTGTCTTTCGGGTTTTTCTCGGTCTTGGGGGGGAAATCGTCTTGCGAAGCATGGCCATAGAAGAAGCTGTCTTGTGAGGCACCGCAGCGATTGCAAAAACCATTTGTCTTGCGGGTTTTTCCTCCCGCAAGGCGTTCGGCTTGCAAGGCACCACTGTATTCTGCACATATTCTCACGTGATGCATTCTTCTGGCCACATCCAGCCCAGTACCTCAAGCTCAAATTCTGAAGGTCCTGAGTTTGATCTGTAGAGGAGGCCTTCTGTAGAAACACCATACCTAATGGAAAATCTCTGATCTCTTACGATCTCGGAAGATAAGCAGAGCCAGATCTGGTTAGCACTTGTAGGGGAGAACACTGAGGAACAGGGGGGGGGGTTCCAGATGGAGGCAGAATCGTGCCTGAAACCCTCGTCTTCTTCTGACAGTCACAATTGAGAATACTAGCCTACATGGAGCAGAATTCTTACTCCAAGGCCAGTTGCTGTAGTTCTACATTAACGGGTGGGTTGTACACCTCTTTTGACTTCCAAATGGTTATGTGCCGTCAAGTTACTTACGGCTTATGGCAAACCTGTGAATTAATGACCCTCAAAAGATCCTGCTCAGATCTTGCAAACTAAAAGCCTGTGGCTTCCTTTATTGAATAGATCCATTTCATGTCCCATCTTCCTCTTTTCCTACTGCCCTCCACATTTCTTAGCACGCTTCTCTTTTTTTCCAGTGAGTCTTCTCTTTTCATGCAATGTCCAAAGTACAATAACTTCAGTGCTAACGAGAGTTCAGACTTGATTTGGCCTAGAACTGACCTGGCAGTCCATGTTAGAAGAAAGAAATAGGATCTGACTCCATTTTAGTGAATGCTCAGTTTCCCAGGTTCTCTTGTTGGAATTGGCTATTTCCTCTTAGTCTAGATTGAGCAGTGGTTCCCAGCATGTCCAAAGTACAATAACTTCAGTGCTAACGAGAGTTCAGACTTGATTTGGCCTAGAACTGATCTGGCAGTCCATGTTGGAAGGAAGAAATAGGATCTGACTCAATTTTAGAGAATGCTCAGTTTTTTCTCTTCCTCCTTCTTCATTCTGTTCTCTCTGTGTTTTTTTCCAGAAATGCGACAGAAATTTGACTCTGGCGAAGACCCGCTGGACCCCGAGAATCAGCAGAGTGGGTCCGGACACCAGCACCAGTGGCCCTTTGAATTCAACCCCTTCGGCTCTGGGAACTTCCATTTCAAATTTCATTTCAATTAACTTTGGCAAAACCCTGGAACAAGGAACAGAGGCTCACAAAACAGAGGCATGGACCTCTGGGTCCCCAAGGCAGAGACTTTTAGCAGCCTCGCTGGTCTGCATCTGAAAAGGACCTCTCTACAACAGTGTGGCCAGGGTGGGGTGGGGTGGTGGACTTCCCTGCTGTTTCAGACGTCAGGTTCCATTTGGCTCGTTGCAAGCAGAAGCCAAGATGTCAAGGACGATGGAGAATCTTTGCTTCCAGCAGCAGCTCCCAAGACCAGATCGCTTCGAGAGAGGATATGGAATGCCTGCGGGGCCGGACACCTCTCCAATATCCCGCCTTTCGCCACCAACCCCTGCAAACGTTAGGTTAAATTTAATGCATTTTGTGCAGTCTCGCTCAACAAGGCTGAGGTTTCGCCTCTTTTGCAGGTCATCGTGAGATAACGGATGGCCGGAAATCTGCTCTTCCCACAGCCAAAGTAGCTTATATACAGTCCCAGAACAGCAAAGATTTTTTTTCTTTTTAAGTATGCTGTTTCCCCCCACATTTTCCAGTTCCGTTGGCTGAAAAAAAAAACTTCTTAGCAGAAAGCATGGGCTTTCTGTAATGCCGTTCATGGGGCGATCACTGTGGCTGATTTATTGAAACATTTTGTCTCCACTTTCTGCTGAAGGGACATGAGCCAGTTATTAAACTTGAATTCCCTTTATTGGACCCCCTCCATGGCTGAGGAGAGAGGAAATCTGTAGGTTCTGAGTTTGGTTTTTCACATCTCTTTTACAATAAGATGGATTCTGGCCTTAAACTTGAATTATTCGTTCCTTCAAACCTCAAAGCACTTTGGAGGGAAAGAAGCTTGTTTCCGCAGCCCTCTGAAATCCCCTTCTACTCTAGAGTAGAGGCATACAGACTGTATTCTAGTCTGTATGCCTGTATTCATACACACAGCCTCCACTGTGCAGAATTCTGTGAGTTGTGGGATTGAAACCACAACTCCGTACTTATCTACTCCAGAGTTTTGCGACTGTGTAGCTGGAAGGCTGACATTCTGCAGCAGAGCATGAAAGCGTCCCCTCCCTTCCCTGCAGTTTGACAAAATGAATTTATTTTTCTCTTGTGCCCTTCCTGCCACCTCCCCGCAACACAGTGGGTTGATCTGCTCCAGTCATCATCCTGTGGCTGAGCGGACGGACCTTTAAGGAAGGGGGTATTGAACTGTTACCACAAGTATCGAGATTAAACATTTCTATTGCAAAACAATCTGATGTTTTCCTGTCCCATTCCTCTTTTGTTGGGGTCGGAGCGGAGGAAGCTTGCCTGTTTCATCCGTGGTCAAGTCCCAAGGTGGAGAAAATGAATCATGCTTCCACCAGATTGAAATCAAAGGATGCCTCTCTCAGGAGAATCTAAGGATTGTATCTGGCATTATCTAGATAGCCTGGGTGAGGAACCTTTCCTCAGCCAAAATAAATCCACAGCCTGTGCTGTGTATATTTTGCAAGAGAGTTTAAGAATGGTGACTGCAACCCTATGCAATGACTTTGAGAGTAAATCCCACTGCACTCATGGGGTTGCACTGTTTATGATTGAAAGTTGAGGAATTGAAGTGTGTGCTTCTTTTTCCTTTTTTGGGGGAGAGGTGTTAGTGAACCCCAGGATAACTTCCAAGACTCAGTTCTGCATGAATGTAATGCAGTATTCTCACCCACTCACCTGCACACGGAAGCAGAACAGAAAAATTATGTTGGCATAAAAGTTGGCAAGAAGCTGTAGATCTGTGGTTGAACACACACTTGATAGAAGGAGTTCCATGGTGCAGTGATTAAACTAGTACTGCATCCGAAACTCTGTTCACAACCTGGGTTCAGTCTCAGCTGAAGGTTCGCTCAGCCTTCCATCCTTCCAAGGTCAGTAAATTGGTAACGCAGCATGCTGGGGGGGGGGTTGCAATGTGTAGCCTGTGGAAATTGTCAACTGCCCTAAGAGTGCTTCTTAAGTGCTATGGGGCAGTCCATAAGCAGCACACTTTGCCCTGGATTCAATCCTTGTTACTTCAAAGTGATGCTAGGAAAGACTCTGGCAAGGCACCATCCAGTGTTGCCGTGGATGGATCAAGGATCCATGCGTCCCGAGAAAAAGACCATTTGCAATGTTTTCTACTGCAGAGGGAGATACTTCTCATCACTGCCGGGAGTAGAGGCTACTTTCTGCAACAGAAACCCTCCTTCAGGACAAGAATAGGGTGCAACGGATGCTTTTCGGGGAGGAACCATCTTCCAGGGCTGCCTTACCTCTGCCTTCCAGCTGCCTTACCTCTGCCACCTCAGTTGGGCCTTCATACCAGCTGGGCACTGTGCAACAAGAAGTGTTACACAGCACAACTCTAGGCGCACAAGCTGGGGGCATGCTTCATTGCTCCACCAGTTCCAGTGAGCAGGTCATTGTCATCCCCGAGAACTAAGGTAGTCTCCTATCTCAGAGACTCAAAACTGTGAAGCAGGACACGTGGTTTCCTTCAGTCTTTGATCAACCAGTTCTATAAGGAGGGAGACCCTTCATATTGACCCTACCTTGCAGGGAGGGTTGTTCAAGAGTTTGTGAACGACAAGAACAGGTTAGGATAGCAAACGTCTGGCGTTTACTGAGGGTTGGGCAGGAAAACTGCATGACAACGAGGTGAAAATGGAACCGAGGCTTGTGGTTTTTAGATGAAACCCTCCATACACTGATTGTCCCCCCTGAGGTGTCATTTTAGAGTCACCTGGATGTAAGGTATCGGCCTTCCGTTCTCTTTCTCAGAAGCTTTTCCTGCCTAGATGGCTGCTTGATTTTTAGCACCTCTGAGGCAGCAGATTGAAATTCAGAGATTATAAATATGGAGCCAAATGGTATTGTGTTTTTAGTATGCATTATCTTGGAAGGGCTTTTTCCGTTTCAAACGGCTGCACCTCCTTCCCCCTCTTCTCCTCTCTGTCCCTGCTTCCCGATCCATTAGCGTCACGTTCCCAGGAATAGTTTTGAGGGGATGGAAAGACCACAAAACAACTTCCATAATTTAAGAAAAATAGCATTTAAAAAAAAACACAACCGCATGTGGGTTCAGCTGAGGTCCACCCCATCGAATCATTGCTAGTTCTCCACACGGAGACACAGGAAATAATGACAAAATCAGGCCCACCTTACGTGCAGATTGAAACCCCACTGTGCTCCATCTCTCCAATCTGAGGGGGATAAAAAAAACACCACAAGGAATTTCAGTAAAAGGTTGCCTCGAAAAAGGATGTGATTTGACTGAACCCCGGTATCTTTCATTTACAAAATCAACTCTCTTTTCTTTTTTTCTCCCAACCGTAAGAAAACCCAGCAAAGTGTGTCCTTTTTTTACAGAGGAAAAATACAACACAGAGACAGCTGTCCTCCACAATAAATAACCCGATGCGACGCAGGCTCAGTCCCTCTGTCCCCTTTTCCAGCATCATCAGGATGGGAAGAAAGGTCCGAACAGCAGAAGGCGTGAGACGAGAAAGGTCCTTTTTCCATTTTTCATCTCCGGAAAACGCCTTGGGGGTTCTGGGCTGCCCCATGGGTCATCGAAAGAATGTCTTTGATGAGGGGTGTCACACATACACACGACCCCACGCTCCGGCTTAGACATAAGCATTCTTGCCGTATTTTCCACCATTGCTGCTGGAGTTGGAGTCTGCACGAGGCCGAGGGCCTGAGGTCACACCGGTGGACAGGGGGCCCTTGGCGCCTTTGTATGGGTATGCATAGCTGTGAAGACACACAAGGGGAGGAATTGGCAACATCTCTGTTAAAACGGCTGGCAAGTTTTGATCCACTGTTATACAGTGGTGCCTCGCTTAACGATTGCCTCGTTAAATGACAAACCCGCTTT